TGCTTTTGTGTTGGTGAAGAGACAAAAATGAGCATATATTCTCTGTGTCTGTTCAGGCTGAGTAGAGTTGACTGGTAGATGTGGCAGGATGGGAGAATAGAGGTTGATAGAGACAGTAAAAACATTCATACAGCAATCCACTACTCTAATTGATGTGGCTTGGAACTCTGAGTTATTTTGTTGTTATTAGGTGCTGCTGAGTTAATTCCAAACTTAGAGTGACCTGTGTACAATAGCATGAAACACTGCCTGGTCCTGTGCCATCCTCACAATGTCTGCTGTGTGTGAGGCCCCTTTGCAGACACTATCAATCTGTTTCTTTTTCACGGACTCTCCACCAAACATAGTGTCCTTCTCCTGGAATTGTTTCCTCATGATAACTTGTCCAAAGTACATGAGGTGAAGTGTCTCCATGTGCAGTTTTCAGGAGCATTTTAGCTGTATTTTCTTCTGAGACAGACTATTTATTTTTCTGGCAGTCCATAGTGTATTCAGTATTCTTCAACAGGATAATCCAAATGATCCCATCCAGTTATTCCATATGTCCTTTTAAAAGCTGTATCTCAGTGACTACATGGATACTGTCATGACCTCGTGCTAATGGTCTCTCTCGTTTGGTTGGTATGACACTATAGTTATCTTGGCCTTGTCCCATTTAAGACTTAATAAATGTTGTCTTTACATGAAAATGTTTCCATTTTCCTTATTGATTGTCTAGCTTTCTCAGGCATATGAGGCCATTGGAAATATCATGGGTTGGGTTGGGTTTTGTTTTCAACCAGACATCTTTGCTTGTCAACATTTTGTAGAGATATTTTGTAGCAGATTTACCCAATGCAATATGTCATTTGATTCCCTGACTGCTGCTTTCACGAACATTGATTGTGGCTCCAACTAAAATGAAATCCTCTACAACTTCATGATTTTCTCCATTTATCATGATGTTTATTTCTCTAGTTTTGAGGACTTTTGCTTTCTTTTCATTGATGTGTAATTCATCTGGAAGAATGTAGCTTTAAAAAAATCTATTGTTCTTTGCTTTCAGCAAGCAAGGTAAAGTACTCACACCACACCGGTTGCTAATGACTCTCCCTGCAGTCCTGATACTTCACTCTTCTTTGTAGAGTCCGACTTCTTGGATTATTTGCTCTGCATACAAATTGAATGAGGATGGCGAAAGGGAACAACCCTGACACTCACCTTCTTGACTGTAAACCATGCAGTAGCCCCTTGTACTGGAATCACTGGCCCGTGGTCTATATACTGGTTCAGCATTAGCACAATGAAGTCTTCTGGAATTTCTATCCTTTGTAATGTTATTTATAGGTTTTTTGTGGTTACACAGCCAAAATCCATTGCGAACTCAGTGAAACACAGGTGACGTTTTTTCTGGTCTTTTCTGTTTCCAGCCAGGATTCATCTAATATCGGCAATGATGTACCTCGTTTCACTCCCTATTCTGAATCTGGCTACCGTTTCTGGCTATTATTTAAATCTATGCACCAACCACTGAAGCTAATGATGAAGAATTCTACCAACGTCTTCAGGCTGAAATTGATCAGAAATGTATTCAAGATGTATTAATAATAATTGGTGATTGAAATACAAAAGTTGGAAAGAGAAAGGACCAGCATTTGGAAAAGATGGCCTTGATGATAGAAATAAAGCCGAAGATATTTTGCAAGATCAATAACTTTTCATTGCCATTACCTCTTTTCAGCAGCACAAAAGGCATCTATACACATAGGGCTTCTCCAGGTAGAATACACAATAATCACATTGACTACATCTGTGGGAACAGATGGTGGGAGAAGCTCAATATTAACAGCTAAAGTGAGGCCAAGGGCCAACTGTGAAACAGACCACCAATTGCTCAAATGTAAGTTCAGGTTAAAGCTGAAGAAAATTAAACAAATCCAGGAGAAACAAAGTAAATCTCACTTGAATTTCGAGACCACCTCAAGCACAGTTTCTCTGCATTGAACACTAATGAGAGAAGACCTGATGACCTCAAGAACATCATGGAGAACTCAAAAGGTTCTGAAAACAAAGTGGATGAAAGAAGAGATGCAGAAACTTGCTCTTGATCTTAGAGTAGCTAAAGAAAGTGGCTAGAAAGATGGGATAAAGAAAGTGGTAGAATGATGGAATAAAAGGACAGAAAATTCCCAAGGGCAGCTTGAGAAGACAAACCCAAGTATTATAATGTCATATGTAAAGACCTAGAGTTACAAACCAAAAAGGGAGAACATGTGTAGCGGATCTTAAGCTGAAAGGAACTCAAGAAAAATTCAAACTTTGAGTTGCAATATTGAAAGATTTTCTGGGCAAAATAATGAATAATGCAGAAAATGTCAAGATGAAAAGAATAAACAGAGTCACTGTACCAAAAAGAACTGGTCAACATCCCACTATTTCAGGAGGTAGCATATGATCAAGAGTCAATGGTATTTTCCCTGTCCTCGGACACATAAGAATTGGAGGCAAAGAAATGTGGATTTGGAGAAGTTTGGGGCCAGCTTGCTCCTCGCAGGCTCCAGCGCCCCCATCCCACACTGAAAAAAAAAAAGTCAATGGTAGTGAAGGAAGGAAGTTCAAGTTGCACTGAAAGAATGAACAGGAACAAACCTCCAGGAATTGACAAAATACCAATGGAAATATTTTAGTAAGCTGATGAATCACTGGAGACACTCATTGAGGCCAAGAAATTGAAAGATGGCTACCTGGCCAGCTGACTGGAAGAGATCCATATTTGTTCTCATTCCAGAGAATAGTGACCTAACAGAATGTGAAAATTATGTAACGATATCACATGCACATAAAATTTCCTTGATGATCATTCAACAGTTGCAGCAGTATATTGACAGGTTGCTGCTGGAAATTTAGGCCAGGTTCAGAAAAAGAATAAGGAATATCATTGTTGACTTCAGGTAGATCTTGGCTGAAAGCAGAGATTATCAGAGAGATTTACTTACATTTTTTTGACTACATAAAGCCACTAGTTTGTGTGGATCATAACCAGCTATGGATAGCCTGGAGAAGGATGGTAATTTCAGAACAATTCATTGTGCTCATGAGGAATTTGTACATGGATCAAGAGGCAGTTGTATGAACAGAGTTGTGTGGTTTAATATCAAGAGAGTTATGTCCTCTCACCATACTTATTCAGTCTGTATGGTAAGCAGATAACCAGAGAAGCTGCATGGAATGAAGAACACAGCATCGGGATTGGAGGAAGGCTCACTAGCAACCTGTGAGTGATAGGTGGGTAAACACAACCTTGCTTGCTGAACATGAGGACTTGAAGCACTTGCTGATGAAGATCAAGGTTAGTTGCCATCAATTTGGATTACAACTACATGCAAAGAAAACAACATTCCTCACAATTGGACCAATTGGTAGCATCATGATAAATGGGGAAAGACTGAAATTGTCAATGATTTCATCTTACTTGATCTACAATCAATGCTTGTGGAAGCAGCAGTCGAGAGCAAACAACATTACATTGGGTAAATCTGCACAAGACCTCTTTAAATTGTTGAAAAGCAATCTCATTTTTTGATGTTTCCTGCATCATTAAATATTTTGCCTATGGAATCCTTGAATATTACAATAGGAGGTTTCAAGTTTTTCGCCTTCAAATTGTCAATTAGAAAAATACTGGGAATGTTCTTCCCACTTGTTTTCTAACTCCAGGTATTTGTACACTTCATTATAAGACATTATTTCACCTTCACTGTGGCCCTTTTAAATATTTTTTTAAATCATTTTATTGGGGGTTTGTACAACTCTTTTTAAAAAAATTATTTTATTGAGGGCTCGTACAATTCCCATCACTGTCCGTACAAACATCCGTTGTGTCACGCACATATGTACATTTGTTGCCCTCATCAATCTCAAAACACCTGCCTTCCACGTTAGCCCCTAATATCATTTGCTGTTGACGTTTACATTTCTTCCACACCCCTTATTTAGCTACTCTACATTCAAGAGCAAGTTTCAGTCTCTTCTGATATTTGTTTTGGCCTTTTCTTTCTTTTTAATGACCTTTTGCTTTCTTCATGTATTATATATTAGATGTTATTTTGCAACTATCTGGTCTCTGATTACAAATGTTCAACATGCCAAATCTGTTCTTGAGATGGTCTTTAAATTCAGGTAGGATAAAATCAAGGCCATATTTAGACTCTGATTGCTTTATTTTAGTTTTCTTCAACTTCAACCTGAACTTGCATATGAGCAGTTGATGATCTGTACTGGTCAGCTGATGGCCTTCTTTTGGCTAATGATATTGACCACCTCCATCTTCTCTGCCTGTAGGTGTAGTCAATTTGATTTCTTTATGCCCCATCTGACTAGGTCCATATGTATAGTCACTGTTTGTTTATGTTGTTGGTAAAAGATAGTATTTGCAAGGAAGAAATCATTGGTCTTGCAAAATTCTATGTGATCTCGTTTCATTTCCATCACCAAGGCATTATATTCTGGTTGCTGATCTAATTTCTTTGTTTCCAACTTTCACATTTCAATTATCAGTTATTATCATTACACCCTGATTGCATATTTGATCAAAATCAGACTGCTGAACTTGGTGAAAGTCTTCCATTTTCTCAGCTTTGGCTTAGTAGGTGCCGTGTAAGTTTGAATAATAGTTGTATTAACTTGTACTCCTTGTAGGAGTATGGATAATATACTATCACTGACAACATTGTACAGCGTTGTACTTCAAGATAGCTCTTGACATGTTCTTTTAAACTATGAGTGCCACATCATTGCTTAACAGTTTTTCATTCCTATCATAGTAGACCATGTGACCGTCCTATTACAAAAGGTTAATACCAGTCCATCTTCCATATGCACAGGAGATGGATAAGTTGTGCATTCCATTTCATATTTGATGACTTCAAATTTTTCTAGATTCATACTTTGTATATTATGACAATCAATGGCTATTTATTACATGCCACATCAGCAAATGAAGGTCCAGAACGTTTTGCTCCATTCCCTTATTACAGTCGATTCGACTCTGAAGTTGGTGGTAGCCTTTCCCCAGTTGTAATTTGAATGCTTTCTAAGCTGAGGATCTCATCTTGCAGCACTGTGTCCAACAGTGTCTTGCACTCATTCGTAAGGTTTTCACCAGCCAAATATTAGAAGTACCTTGTCTTGCCAGGGCCATCTTCCTAGTGTTAGTCTGGAGGCTCAGCTGAAACTATTCACCATGGCTGTTCCTGCCAGTGGGTGTTTGAAATGTTTGTGATGTTTCCAGCATCACAGCTGCATGATTAAACCTCAAGCATTAAAAAAAAAAAGCACTAAACAAAAAGAGCAAAGGCAACCTAAGAAATGTGGAAAATGTACATTTGAATTTAGCAAAACCATCTAAAGGAAGTGATGCATATGTTCACATTTTTTAAAAAGCCAGAAGCAAACAAAACCCAGATATTCCAGATCAGAACTATTGTAGTATTGAGATTTGAGTTACCAGGTAGTATATGAGAGGATTTATAGGAAGTAGGGAGATGGGGTGATTCAGGTTGTGGAAATCCTCAAATGAGAGAGGCGAATTATATTTTACTCTGTAGGCCTGGACATCGACTAACACTTCCTGAGACCGATGGGGCACACAGTTAAGCTTTAGAAATAGTAAGTGGAAATGTGGTTGCACTTAGAAATACTATACAGTTGTAGCAGTACAAAATAAGAGGAAATGAAACCATGCAGATGGAGAGGAAAGTGACTGAAAGTGAGATTTTTCTTGATATTAATTGTTATTGGCTTTTACAGTTTGGTTCAGGATGTTCTCAGTATGTCCCACAATTCGATTTAACCCCACATTCAGCTCCCAAACAAAAGGGTCCCACCGCTTAGAGACAAATGGGAAGAGCAGTCTCCCAACTGGAATTGTTTTATCCGGACATTCTGGTCATTCCCAGGAGATTTATTTCTCGTTTTTGGTATTTTGCGGCTTTTGTTTCGGGAGCTTACTATGATGTCACCGTGGTAATTGAATGTGGCCTTCTTAAAAATATCTCAGGCTTTATTCCCAACCTTATAATTTTGAAGGTAGGAAGTGCCCTAGATTCCTGAAAACATATGATTTCCTGAATCAGAATAGTACATGCAGGTGTACTGAAAAGGTGACTCAGCATATTCAGTCTGGCTACAGGAAAAGAGTATTTTCTGTGAAGGTGGTTAGCGTTAAAATGATTGCATACGAACCTCCTGGGCCTTTCAAAATTGCTTCTTTTGAAAGAAAAATATATTTCTACATGGAGCTAGTTGTTTTCCTCCTTCACAGTGAGGTTAATTTCCGAACTAGCGTCAGTTGTTTGGGTGGGGATGGCAGGGGCCGGCTGGCCGCCCTTCTCACATGCTCTCTTGGAAGCCCTGGCAGCCAGGGCTTGGGTCCAAGGCACTCATTTCCACATCCTGCCTTAGTCCTGGGGCGTGTGCATCTGTGCTTCTTGCAAGAACAGTGGTGCTTTACAGTCAGCCCAGCAGGCTTTGGTTCTGTGCGTTTGGGTGGGCTTCTCAAACTCAGGTGGTACTGTGGGAGAATGCTGTGCGGTGGGTTTGCTTCTGAGCCTGGAACTCCCTGTGCTTATCAATGACTTTAGCCACTGGCCAGCCCTGTATGGATAGCCACAAAGCTGGATGGAAAGAAAAATTAGTCTAATAATTTCAAGTAAAACGGTTCTAAGGCCAAGAGGGAAGCAGCAATGAGCATTTTTAGTGTAAGACACATTCACTTGTGTAGGCTACTAATTACTGTTATTGTTGAGTTGATTCTGACTGGTAGTGACCCAAAGGACAGAGTATAGCAGTCCCATCGGGTTGCCAAGGCTCTAATCCTTTCAGAAGCAGACTGCCACCGCCTTCATCGGTGTAGTGGCTTATGAAAAGTGCCATCCAGGTGGCAGGCAGCTAAACACTTTGAGCCCTTTGCCACCAAAGATCCTAGTTTAGGCTGCTAGGTCCTATTTAATAAGCTTTCTTATTAAACACAGCTCTTGGAAATGTACGTAAGAATACATTCTGACCTATAGGCTCTTAGTTATTTGTGAATAAACTCACTCATGCATCTGCAGAGCATTTATTTCAGGCCATGCACCCCCATTGCCAGTCTACACTAATGCACACTACCCACTCCGTTCCCCAAAGCTGGACATACAGATGTGCTGTAGCATTTCCCCCAGGTCACGGCTGCATGGTGTGCTCTATGAAAGCTGGGAGTCGAGTTGTGCTTCTTCCACTCAGATATGCTTTGTTAGAGAAGCTGAAATGAGCCCTGGCATCTCCGTGGTTAGTGCTTAGCTGCTAGCTGAAACGCCGACAGTTGGGACCCATCAACTGTGCCTCCGGTGGAAAGACCTGGAGATCTGCTCCTCTCAAGATTGCCACCTGGGAAACCCTGAGGCAGTCCCCGACCTGTAGGGTTGCTGTGAGTTGCAATTGATGGCGCACAGCAACAAGAACAAAAATCGAGGAGCCCTAGGTGATGCAAAACGGTTAATGCAGGTGGCTGCTAAACAAAAGGTAGGTGGTCGAGATCACT